ATTCAAATTCATACTTTTTGTGTACGTCATTTAATTTTCTTCTTTTTTCATATCTAAAATATTCACCAATAATAAAAAGGTATGGATTTAGCAAAGAACTCGACGAAAATATTGCAGTTATGCATAAATTATAAATATTATTATTCATTGTAATATTGAGTAGCATTGATAAAATACCTATGTTGTTTTTTATATATAACGTCTGCATTATAACTCTAAAAAAATTTGAATTTAAAAAACAATGAGAACCTAAAATTGTAAAAATCATCCAAATGAGACAATCCACAAATAGTGATATTGTAAAATCTGCTTTTAAACATACATTTTCCATTTCTGTCTTCTTCCGCTTTTCGTAATAAATTAATTTCAAGTGAAGAACATAAGCAAGACAATAAACACAATTCAAAACAATAATGAATATAACATAAAAATCATAATTCATTTGGTTAATGATTGATAAATTTCTGATTTGGATATACAGGCATATAGAACATTGATTATAGAATTCCTAAAGATAAAAACTTCTCAGCTTTAATATGAAAAAGCTAATTGAAAAAAAGTGACCTTGATTATCTGAACAATTGAATATGAAATTGTTAACGAAAATATAAACAAGAAAAATATTGTCATTCTGGGAAATTTAAATAAAAACCATTTTTGAAATGGCTTTAACACCGCCAAATATCTTTCTAGTGAAATCAAACATTTACAAAATGGCGACGCTATTATTGAAAATGTCGCCATCACTGATAGAATTCTGCAAAATGAACTACTTGTCCATTGTTTGTCGGATAAAAAGTAATTGTCCTGGTAATAGGCGTTCGCAATTGACACGAACAATAAATACAGAGCAAGCACCAACTGACTGAAATACAACAGCAAATGATAATATTTAGACGCCTTGAAATATTTAAAAATGATCCATAAACACAAAATGTTTCCCACAACTGCAAAAACACTGAAAAACCACAACTGGATTTCCAGATATTTCACATTTATCAATCTGCCGCAACTGAAATTCACCGAATTTGACGGTTCGCAGTAAATATTCCTGAATAAACAGCACAGTGTGAAACTGCTTCCGTACACCTTTTCCAAATTGTTTAAACCATTCTTTATGCCGATTGACAATGTTGAAGGAATTGTTGATTCGTTGATATACAACAATTTCAGCTTTTGCAGATGAATAAAGCAATTCTCTTCAAATTTCTGTATGTTGCAGCCAGATAATTTTAAAACCTGCAATCTTTTCACTGATGCAAAATACTTCCTCTTTAAACTCTTTATTCCCGTAAACGAAGCGTCCAAATACTGCAGTTGGAAACACTTCAATTGCCACAGGAACTTAAAGGAAGCGATTGATTGTGAAAAGGAAACGTCGAGATGAAGCAAAAGTTTCAACGGATGCGAGAATACAAATTCTTGCCGAGGAAGGTTTCGGATCTTCTTCAGAGTGAGATGCAAGAGATTCGGAAACATTTTTGAAGTAATGTTGTCGAAAATCGATCCGTTTTCAACAGAGAAAACAGTCAATTGGTTGGATGCTGGTGAAAACTGAAATGGCATTTCGCCTTCAATCGAAACCTTTTGAAACATTTTTGTCAGAGGAATTTTGCTCCTTTCCATTTTGACTGAAGAGATTTTTTGTTGAAAAGAACAATGAATTTGAAAAGGAAAATTTTGTTGACAATCAAAAACGTTTTCATAGAAAGATAAATTGGATTTTGGACAATAAATTTCGTCGCTTCCTTCAAAGCAATTCACAATTCCATCACAAACTTTTTCCAACAGAATAAACTTCTTTTCTTGTTTGCATTTGAAAAATCCTTCTGGCCAGAAATCGTCTGTTGTGTTTTCGCGTCAAATTCCCTATTGCAGCGTCTACTTGAATGAAAATGGCCTCAACAACAGGCCTTGCACCTACCGCAGTCCGATTCGTCATCGCCAATTGCGCATTGTTTAATCCCATCGCAAACCTGTTCGATAGAGATGCAATAATCGTCTCTTCTACATCTATAGTATCCATTTTCGCATTTCTTTCTATCGCAGTGTTCGATTCTTTGGAACAAATCTGTGATTGGTATTCCCATTGACGTCTTTTCAAAATAGCAATATTTTCCAGTAGACTGAATTTGTGTTCTGTAGCCGAGCGTCTCGTCGTCATTATCACAGTCATATTTTCCATCATTGACGTAGGAAAGAGGCAAACAGCTGTAGTGGCATTGATATTGCTGTTTGTCATTACAACCTGTGTTCAGACGAGGATTTTATCTGAATACTGAAATGAGAACTACGAGGCAAACCTTTCCGAAATTGTGGCTTTAAAGCATCTTTATGCAAACACAATTCATCGCTTCCATCAAAGCAGTTTCTTTCATTATTGCAAATATCTGTATCTTTTACGCATTGTTGACTTGAACACGGACTGGAATCGTCGTCGCAACGGTCTCTGTCTTCATGGCGAAACGATGAATAAATATTGATGACGTGAGCTAAAAGTGTACTCACGACAGAATTTTTCATCAGAAGAATCTTGGCAGTCTGCAATAAAATCGCATAATCGAAAGAAAGCAATTGATTTTTCCGAATTGAAACAAGTGAATTGTTCAAATGTTTTATTTTCACAATTTTCTTCATCTTCTCCAAAAGGACAATCATCTATTCCATCGCAGATATACGCAATGTTGATATAAAGGTTTTTATATTTGCAAAGAAATATGGGATATTTTTGAAATATCTCTTCTGGTTGAATAAAACTTGTAGTTATTTCTGAGTTTTTGACAGCTTGAAATAATGTTTGGCGTGTGGTATTGAATAGAGAAATTACGTATTAAAAAGTTACTTGGTAACCAATGACAAATTGTCCATGTTTGTTTTGAACAAACAACATATTTAGTTGTTAATTGGGTGGGGGACAACCATGCATCAGTCTGTATAAACTTAATGAATAATATATTAGATTTGAAGAATTTGTTTTAATAACCATATAATAATATTTTTGACATATTCTAGGTAAATAAACAGTGTACATTTTAGTTTTAAAGTAATAATCTATATTATAATTTTCAAAGACAAAGTTTTCCTGAAAATTTCAATAAATTTTTAAAATCAAAATTTGTGGTTTCTTTTTTAAAATTTAAATTTTGAACAAAATAAAGTATTACGTAATTTGTAAATTTAAATGGTAAATCTAGTGACAATTGGCTTGATGAAAAATACATTGCTTTTTTATTTGAATAGTTGGCCATAAAAAATACTGAAATATGAATAAAATGCTTTTACTGGAAAGTCACATGATGTTTAAAAAATTTACCTTGACCGTATTCTTCCATATCCAAACTGTTGATGGAGATAAGTGGAGTATGAACTTTCACTAAAAATGGGAAGATGAAATCTTTGTTCTGTGTTGGATAATCTGTAACTGTTAAATTTTTTTTTTGGCAAAAGTCAATGCTGTCTTCCTGATTTGAAAATGTATCTTGTTTGTTTGGATAATAACAAACATCATAAACACTGATTGCCCTTTCAAAAGGACAAGCGACTAAATTTTCTATACTCCTATTAGAACATTCCAAAAAGTATGGATACCAATTTTCATCACCTGGATAAATCCTAAGAGAAAGACGAACAAACGGAAAACAATGGCATTTATTTAAAAATTCATAAACTTAAAAATAGTACTCAACTGACTTTTCAACCTTTTGACAATTTGTTAATGATGAAACATTTTCTCTGCACGATAGTGTTTTAAATAGAAATGTATTTAAGCTATTGAACTGATTCCTTTCTCTTCTATAGAATGTTTTAGAATGTGAAACAATTGTTCCATAATTAAATCCAAAAATAGAACAAATTTTTTGCTGTTCTTTGTAAAGGAGATACTGAATATCATGCCAATTTCTATCCCATACTTGGAAAAATCCTTTAAATTTTTGATAATTATGATTTACATATGGATAGAGGATATTTTCTTCATTTTGAATTATTCTAAAAACTTTTGACAGAGAAAACTGGTAATCATTTACAAACTTTTACTTTAACTAACAATTATTTGCTGTTGGTATTTTTTCACAAGATTTATCAAATAAATACTGATCACTCTTAAAATTCGATATTGAAACAACACAAGTCTGTTCATAATTTTTCCTACAACCTTCCAATTGTGGAAAATTCTACAATTTAAAAAGAAAAATCAAGGATTTTTTAATAAATAAACTAGTAAAATATAATAGATTAGCTTACATTATAAACAATAACTTTTAATTGACAAAAATCTTTTGAAAATGTTTCAGAAACGGCGAAACAAATATGTTTACAAGCATTAATTGCAAATGTAAAAAATGAAAAAATTGGTGGAAAAATTCCAATATTTATAGAACTAATGTAATAATGAAAATTAAAATTCTGTTTATAATAGGCTAAAATGTTCCTTTCTGTTTCACCAGCATTTGCAATCTTTTCAATTTTGTAATCTATATATTTATAAATAACATTTTTTTACTTCAAGAAGTCAATTTTGAGTTGGGAGGAAATGGCCCAAGTAGGCTAAAGTTTTGGCTAAGATTTCGACCATTATGTAGGGTTTGGAATTGGGCAGCAAAAAGTGCTAATCATCTTGTGAACTGGTAGGTTAGAGTATAAAACACCAGGAAATGGGCCGTTTTCTCCCACACCCATTTTCTCTTCCTTACCATTGAATTGGTAATATTTGCATTTAGCAGGTATAGAATATCTTCCATTTTTTGGATCAATAAAGTCATATTTTGAAGGGTTTTTGAATAGAGCAACTTTGGTTGTAGTTATAATTAGATTAACATCTATTTGCACAATATATTGAATGTTTGAACAAATGTCCACTTTATTTGTCCTATTTATGTAAATGGGATAAAAAATTTCATTAATTTTCAAATATAATGCAAAATCAGTCTTCCCACTCCATTTACTAACAATGTCTATAAAATTAAAAAAACTTGGTGTGATTCTAGATAAAATGTCTGTTATGTCTCTTACTAATCAATTTTATTTTAAAGCATCTAATCAACGATTTAAATATTGGAAGTGATGATTGATTTTTGTCTAAATATTGCCAAACAACACTTTTATAGACATTGGAATACATAATAGTAATAGATGGTTCAATCTTCATCGAATATATTGGCATTAAAACTATATGCATAGAATCATAACCCAAATATTTACAAATTTCAGTGAATAATATACTATTATTTTCTGGAAATTTTACAAAATATGTTCTATTTGTACTCAATTCCAAAAATTGTAAAATTCCTTCAACATAATTATCATACTCTATAGAATTTGCTAACTGAAATAAATTTTCGTTTGTATCAACATTTCTAAAAGCTAAATTTTCAAATTTATAAAGTAAAAACAAAAATATGAATTAATGTAAAAATTTTGAAAAAAAATTACTATTCAAACCTTTTTTTTTGCAAATTGTTGTCATAAATCGAGCTAAATAGAAATTTGAGTGTTTCATAGAAATTTGACAATTTGTAATTGTGAAACCATTCATTTTACAACCTTTAATTATGGAATAATCCTTTATCTGAATATTGAAGGTATTTTTAATGAAATTTCAATTAGGACAGTTAAAATATTAAACCTGAATTTTTAATTTTAAATATTTGCAACTTTTTTCATAGACAGACATGTTGAGTAGATTACAATAGTAGTGGCAAGCTAAATATCTATTTACAGAATTTTCAAACAATGGTGGAATATTACCAAATGTTTTTGACATGAAATATCCTCCATTTTTGAAAGCATTATCATTGTCTTGTAATAATCCTAATGCCCAAATTGGGGAAGACGATTGGACAACTTTAATATCTAAAGAGCCAAATTTTTTAAGACGTGTGAAAAAAGGAAAATACTCTATCAACCTTTAAGATCAGAAAATGAACATTTTAATAAAGGTATTGAGCTATTTTTATCAATAAAATTTATATTAATGATATAAGATCCATTTTCTTGGTATGATATAAATGCATAATAAGTTTTATTTAAGGACATTGGCGATTGCGCAATAATTTGTAAAGAATATTCAGTGTCGGAGCAAATTCTTTTCTTAAATATTTGTTTTGTAGAAATAGTATAAATAGAGTTATCCTTTCTTAAATATGAATAATAAATATTATAATCATTTTTCTGAGTGAATAAATCTGTTTAATAGATTATGAAAAGAAATAAATTTTGTTTTTTAAAAAAAAAAATAGAGTAAAAATGAACTAATTAACATGTTGATCCTTTTTTATAACACTTTAAAACCAGATTGAAAATGAGTTTTCTTCCATCATTAAAAAAATAGCTAGTTTTTTATAAATTAGTATTATTTTTCTATTTTAATCTAAAAAGGCCTATTATTTACTTACAATTTACAACATAATCCATCAGTTATAGCTGCTGCGAATGTTCTATTTATAGGTTGTAGGGTACCACCTTCAACTCTAGAAAAGTGTGATTCATAGCCTAATATTTTACAAAATGAGGTCATCATTGAAAAAGTATATTTTTTGAATATAAACAAATATGAATTATTTTTTTTGTTGTGTTTTACAAATAAATTTCCAAATATAAAATTTTCTTTATTTTCAATAATTTCAATATCCAATTTTCCATTAAAATACTCAGTACTACTACACACCAATGGTGTTATTGATAGAATTGTACTAGAGTATAGATAAAGTATTGGAAATATAAACATTTTATCGGTATTAGCCATAAAAGTGTTTTTTTTATGATTAGAGTATAAATTATAAAATATAAACTGGTAGTTAATTTAACAACCACTTGCAATTTTTTAATTTTTTTAGCAATTATTTAAAATGTTTTATAATTGATTTATAAAGCAATTTAGATGATTTTGAATGAATGAAAATAGAAAAAAATATTATTCAAGTTCCATCATCAATTGTTTGAGCTATGAATGTTTCTTTAAATTTTCTATTTTTAGCCTTAAATTTAAATACAATTTTCACTTTTAAATTATACTTTGAAATAAAAAATCTAAATGAAAATTCTGTTGTTGGACACGTTCTAGTAAAAAATGATGAGAATATTACATATTCAATTAAATTTGAACAGTACAATAATTTTATTATGATGTCACTATGTAAAAAATTCGGATACGATTCGTTTTTCGCTCGTACAGGAGCAGCTAAACAAATATATGGAATGACTGTTATAATAAAGAATACAATTGTTTGTTGCGAATTGTTTGTCAAAAAAGAACATAATTTAACTCCAAAATTTTAATTATTAACGCCGGGTTTTTTGCAGTTTATATAAAAATTTACGTTGGTCATTGGCCTATAGTTTGGCCTTGACCTGTTACAAAAAGAATTCAACTTGTTAAGTAGTATTATTTTTTACTTAATTAATATATATTTTGTTTATTTCATTCAGATCTCATTGCCAAGAAATTTGACCATGGTATGTATAGGCTAATGTTAAAGAGTAGCCCATTACTCTATGTTGTTGGTAGTAAAACTGAGGATAGAAAGA